CCCTCCTCAGAACTTTTGACTCAGAATCTGCACTTTTAACATGATTACCTGTGATTTCATAGGAGAAGCACTGCTATAAATCATATAAATTTCACTTTTCTGTCCTCCAATGGATAAAACTCCTCAACTTGTTGATCAAAACCCGACCTCACAGTATACTCAAGTTTCTAGCAGTTGGTCCTTTGTAGAACTAGGAAGAGCCAGAGTGGAGTCAGCTGCTAGGACTTGATCTCTCTCTCTCTCTCTCTCTCTCTCTCTCTCTGTCTTTGTCTCTTTATCTCCCTCTCTCCCCACTCTTCTCTTTGTTCTTTCCCCTTGCTTTCATGATAAAATCATGTTATACAGAGGAGCAGCACAGTGTCAAATTTTCTATGCTAATTTACATTTTTTAATGTTAAAGAACCATCAGCCAAAGCTAGCTAAAGCAAAATAGTTATCCTCTTTTATTGCTCTTTTATTCCGCCTCTTTACTTTCTATGTGACCTCCTCACTCTTCCTTGTGCATCTCCTAGAAGGCAGAATAACTAAATATTTGCTGAGTATCTGGCATCTGCAGGCACAGAAAGTCAGTTTTCCTCATTTAATCTTTATACCAACTAGATATACAGCCATAGGAATGGGGGCATGGAATCATGCTCAGTCAGTCCTCATGAACACATTCTCCAAACGTAGTACTTTTTCAACGACATTCTAAAAGTTTATTATTGTCACAACTATGAGTTACAATATGAAGAAAATATGTTAGAAAAATAAAGAATAAAAGGGAAATGGTGAGACCCCAAGAGAAAACTGTCATAAAATGTGGCCATTTTTTCCTGATTACCTTCCATTCTGAACAACATCCCAAAGTCTGGCCCAAGCCATTCTCCTTCAATCTCTAGCATTTTAAAAGCCAGCTATATCTCTGATAACAAACCTAAGCATCTGGGTTTTTAAATTATTTCTTTATTTTATTGTACAGGACACTGGGGCTCTGATAGATTTAGCCTTTGTCCACAGTAACAGAGACATTCAGCTTTTCTGATTCTACGTAGTGCTTTCCATTCTATCAGTAGCGTCTCAGCACCAGGGCCACCCCTGCTTTACATCCCAAAGACTGGAAGCCTGAGGCTTATATGGCCACAGGTATCTTAGATGTGTATTAGATGCCACTAAAGAGAAGTATTTCACAGAATTTGGATGGACATAACTGGGATTACTGAGTGTCCTGTGTCTGCAACTCCATGACTCCATGAAAGTGAACAGAAAAACACGAGAGCCAGCAAGTCTTCTCTGACCTGTTTGTCGAACACTCCCAAAGGTTTTGTATGCACCTAAATCCTTATATTAAATTATTTCCTGTTCACATGCCTAGAATAGTTTCTATTTTTTTCACCCAGCCCTAAGACAACCATATAGCCATTCACTCCTATACTCAAGCTAACATTGTATGCTGTACATCTTTCCGTATAAACATATTTCATTAACAAAAATTTCCTTATTTGTCAACTTCACCTTTACAAACTGAATTGTTTTCATGGCAGAGGACATAACATAATCTGTTATCACTGTTTCTGGCACATCATGATGCCAGACAATTAGCTGAATAATTGCTGAATAACTAGCAGTTGTCTGAAGGAACTAAGCTCAAGACCCTTTCTAATATTTCTTTCCTAAACATCATCTATCTACTCCTGTGACTGTTTCAAGAAATATAAATTCAGAACGGGATCACTGGGATCAGAATATTTTTAAGCACTGAAACTCTAATGTCTTAAGAGATTAAAGGGCAGGGTGGGAAATACGTGAGGAATTCCAGGAAAGCTTTCTTTTATGTGAAAGCTGTTAGAACATCAAGGGATACATTTCTAGGGAATAGCTTCTGTTGTGATTCCTTAAAAGTTGTCTTTGAGGAGACTAAGGGATCCTGAGAGTCTCATTGAATGTCTTCTTTTATACCCATAACTCAGTTCTGATTCTACATCTGTTTCCTTTCTCTCCTAACTGTGCTTAGTTTTATAGACGTTTCATTATTCTTGCTGATTCACACCCAAACCTCATGGTTTATTCTCTTGTGGAAGATAATAATCAGAGATATCCACTTATATTTTTATACATTTTATAAGCATACATTTAAAAAGTTTTCCTTTATGTTTCTGCCAACTCTATCCCAAATAGAGAGATGACTGCATATTCATATCCTCGGGAAGAATATAGTCTCTGATCACCAGGCAGGCAGTCTCTGATCATCATGGACTTTGCTTTATAAAGGTCATATGGGTAAAAGTTGTTGGGTGGCAGAATTAATCACTTATCGTCAAAGAAGGGATAGCTGTGTTGTGGATCGAGGTAGGAAGGACTGCTGACAGACTTGCAAAGTTTGTGTGTCTAAGCATGGCACAGAACAAGCTGAGAGGCAGGTGCCTAAAGGGCCATGCTAGCCAGGTGCTGACCATCTCATGAATGCCTAGGTGGATAAATAATTTGATAATCAGAGGAAGTCTCCCACCAAAGCCTTATAACCTGTTAGATAATTATAGAGTCCAAAACCTTAGCATATCCTGAAACAAAATTAGAGTGGATTTCCCTCCAGACTGATGAAATGGGCTCTCTTGAATGAGAAATAAAGTCAATTTATGGCCATAAAAATTATGTTTTATACATACCGAATTTTTGGATTGTAATTCACATCTGCTACAAAATCAAGAACTCAGACTGTTACTGAAGGAGATGTTCTATGCCCTAATTCTCAGTCAAAAGCTACCTTATTATGGGCTTTCCAACAATTCACTTCAGTTGGAAGCAAAGAATGACTTCATCCTTGTCTGGCTATATCTTGACCAGCACTGGAAGGGAATAACCAAGGAAAAAGCAATAGTTGGAGCAACAGAGGGCCTCTTGGTTTAAGTAGAATAAACATCAACACAAGTTAAAATCCGTGATAGAGGAAAAAGAATCGAGTCAAACTTTTGCAATCAGTTAGCCAAGGAACTGACAATTCAGAATCAGAAGGGTTTACAAGCTACTTACGAGCATGCTGCTTATCACTCAGATAGTGCTTGTTATACACCAAGCCCCATTCTAAATGATTTAACCCATACAACCCTTACCACAGACCGATGAGGCATATTATATTATTAGTCCCATTATATGGACGAAGACATGATGGCCCATGGGAGTCTTGGGACCCGTTCAAGGTCATATCTATGGTAAGAGGCAGTTCTGAAATTTTGAACTTAGTCAGTGTAGCTACAGAGTTCAGCTTGACCACCACACAATGCTGCCTTTGCCCACGAAAAAAACCTACAAATTTCTGAATGGTATAACCTCCCAATGAAGAGACTATCAGGTCCACACCTTTTATTTTAAAGATGAGGGAACAGCAGCAAAGAAGGTAAAGAGATTTGCTCGGGGTCATGTAGCTCAACACATCACTCATCTTTGTTTTATGTTAAATGATATTCATTGTCAATCAAATTAATCACTTTGTTATTAGTATTTCCCAAGAGGCAAATCAAAAGTTTTAAATCCAGCCTTTTATGGCCTTCCAGGAATTTTACCTAAAATGCTCTTAAGCTGACATGGGATGGGATGCCAAGTCGTCTCAGAGGCCAGAAAAAGCACCTTGATGGTTAATCCCCTGGGTGTCTGGGACACAAGGCTGTGCCAGGGAACCACTTAACAGAAGAGCAGGCAAGAAATCAGGGAAAGGGAACCCAGAGGACTTCAGTGTAGTCATTTAGGAATAAGGGAATTTGATGCGGAGCAGGTTTCCTCTACTCTAATGAAACACCTAGAATTAGAAACCTGTATTTTGTAAAGGTGATCTTTATGTTGCCTTATTTATGAAATATCAATTTCAAAACAAGGTTTGGAAAATTCCTCTCCCTACAAAAAGCAAAGGGGTCATTTTGATTCTCCCTTGCCTTTTAGCAAGGACTAGCGTATAACTGTACTGACTCATTGACATGTCCAAAGTCCATATGACAAAGTACTGTTAAAGAAAATAAGACCCACTGCTGTCTCCTAAAGAATTATTTAATTGTGAGCCAAATATATATATTTTTAAATCCATCATGGGGACAAGATATTGCAATGAGAAAGCTGTATTATTTAGATCACTGGACATTTAGTGACCTCTCATCTTAATCCTTCCTGCTCTGGTTGCACTGACATGTCCTGTCATTGACAAGCTCAGACTTGCCTTATAACAACCACTGTTGTTATCTGAAGGCTGAATAGATAATATTCAAAAAAAAAAAGTCACTTACTTACTTGTTTCTAACCTTTTCAACCCTTATTTCAATTTTCATCCTAAGAATACTCTGATTGCAGAAAAAGAAACACATGATGATGAAAATGATGCATCTGCCAACTTACAAAAAGATATCTTAAAAGTGAAAATAGAGGTAAGAAAGTAATTGAACCTGTGCTGAGAGGCTATTGACAAAGCCCAAAGAAACAAAGAAATATGAGAGTTAACTTGGGCAACAATAACACACACTAAAACTCTTGCTACCAGAACCCTGAGTTGTTTTAAGTTAATGGCGGGAAGAAAGTGCTGTATACCTGAAACATAATCACTGCTGTCGTTGTCAAGGTCCTATTTATTAAGTTAGAGAAACGTAACAGATTTGGAAATTAAAGCAGATAGAAGAAACACATTTTTAATTTTTAAAATATGTACTGGAATTCTAATGTTCTCTCTAATAAATACATTGTTTCAATTTGGATGCATGCCTACAAAGCTATAGATTTGTTGCACTTGCCCAGAAGACACTAGAGGGGAGACATCAAGTCATGATCAACCCAATCGGATCGAATCTCTTTTCATTTTCCTTGAAGGAGCCTGGTTCTGGGGATTTTTCCTAACCAGGCAAACAACTAACTTCATTATGGCTTCTAGACAAACCATGCAATGAACAATATAGCAAAATGGAGGCAGTGACCAAATCAACCCTGGCCTTTAAGGTTTTCCAATACCTTCCACTCAGGCAAAGATAAATTCGGCAGGTACTTACCGCATTGAAATTGGGGAACAGGTTGACTGCAGCTGCAGTGTCAAGAGGAAAAGGAAGAAATGGTTTAATATCCAGCGATGGTTGCAGAGGAGGGGCTGGTGGACGGACAAGGGCCGGGAGAGCAGGACTCTGGCATGTACCACCTGTGAAGACCAGAGCAAAGGGAGCAATCAGGGACACCACCATGGAAAAAAACACCAAAGTTGCTTTTGAGACAAAAAGGCCAGCTTTGTGGGTCACTGGAAAAAACAAGACATGGACTCTATTGACCTCAACTGGGAACTGGCCAATGAGCAAATTTGCCATTAGGCAGAGCGAGCTAGTTGAACTGCTCCGTTTTCCTTTGATTATAACTATCTGGTTATGTAAGTAACATCAACATTTCAAATGCCCCAACCTGTCTTTATTTTCCTGCCTAGAGCTCCAGATTGGGTCAGTCACAAATTTGCAACCAAGATCTCTGAATTCAAAGGGAAGACCCCTTCATCATGTGCCCATCCCTCTTTGAAAACTAAAGCACTCACAATATGCATTAAGTCTGAGTGATTATTTTACAGAATTGCTCTTTGCTACCACATCCAAAACTCTGGCAGCAGCATGACATGAACCTGGCACATACAAGAAATTTAACCTCAAACTCAGGCAGCTGTACCTTACTGCTCTAGCAACTGGAGGATTAAAAACCAGCAAAACCAGTGCTACGATGTCTGAACTGTTCAGCACCCCTACAGCTCTGATTATTCAACAACTCCCTGCCTTCCTCCCAGTCAGGAGTAGGTGGAATTTAGATGGCCACTGTTGAGCAGGCAGTGGGAATATTATGCCAACAAAGACATCCCCTTTGCATGCCAGTAAGTAGCCAGCCTTTTGCAAGAGAGCACATACCTTTGCCCCCTGTTATAGGACTCCACCACACTCAGGAGCTGGAAGGATGGAAACCCATCTTTAGTGTTCAGTCTCCCATATTTTGGTAACATTCCAAAACATCAATTTGCTGTTAATTAAAGGCTGTTTGAATCCTAGGAAACTGTTAAAATATGCCAGCATTCTTCTAATCTGAGAGGCAAGCAACAGACTGTAAAAACCTGCTGGTGAGAATCCAACAAGCATTAGGAAAACAAAATGCAATGGGCTATTTTTCTGTCTAACAGTAAAGAATTCTAGGAGACATGCTTGTGCCACTTGCCTGCCATCTCATTTTTAAAAACAAGGTAGAGTCAGTCTCCTCGTATAAATTGCCTTTACAAATTTCACAACAAACTCTCTGGCCAGCTGCACACAGAACATCATCTTGCCCTCAATCAGTTACCTGAGCACAAAATTAACATTCTGAAAATGATTCCCCAATGATAAATCCAACCCTATGGGGCCACAGAGGATCTGCTAACAAGCTAGATGACTTAGTACCTATAACAGAAGCCATCAGCACAGGATTTAATTAACCATACACAAGAACCATCAGCTCTCCTGCTCCCAGGTATAAAATCAGCTGGAGCCAAATTAAGAAAAACCGTATTTCCCCCCCACTGTCTTACCTTCTTTCTTGAAATAATAATAGCATGGCCAACAATAGCAAAGTCAATAACTGAAGTCTATAATCAGTAAACTAATTTGCAAAGTAGCACAAGGCACTAAAAAAAGGGCAGATGTCAAAACAAATAGAGATAACAACGAAATATAACAAGTCTACATTCACCAGAGCACACTATAAACTTAGTTTATTGTCCACTTGGTAGTGTATTGAGTGTGAGTGTGTAACCATTTTTAGAGAGGGCATCCGTAAAACTTTGGTGGTAGACCTGTCATGAGTTTAGTGTTGTTAAAAGTTTCTCTTTTAATAAAAAGTTTAAAACCCAAAATAACTTTTTAGATGGTGCATCTTTAAAAAACTCAGAAGTAAGGTCGGGTGTGGTGGCTCATGCCTGTAATCCCAGCACTTTGGGAGGTCAAGGCGGATGGATCACTTGAGGTCAGGAGTTTGAGACCAGCCTGGCTAACATGGAGAAACTCCATCTTTACTAAAAATACAAAAATTAGCCAAACGTGGGGTGCACACCTGTAATCCCAGCTACTTGGGAGGCTGAGGCAGAAGAATCACTTGAACCCAGGAGGCAGAGGTTGCAGTGAGCTGAGATTGCACCACTGTACTTCAGCCTGGGCGACAGAGCAAGATTCTGTTTCAAAAACAAAACCTCAGAAGTAAAGTAAGCTTTGGTTGAAATCAGTGATGTGGTGAAATTTAAGAAGTAATTTTAAATTACTTTTATTTTTGTTGTTGTTCTTTTTGAGACAGGATCTCACTCTATTGCCCAGGCTGGAGTGCTGTGGCACCATTATGGCTCACTGCAGCCTCAACCTCCTGGGCTTAGCTGATCCTCTCATCTCAGCCTCCCGAGTATCTGGCACTACAGGCGCATGCCACCATGCCCACCTAGTTTTTGTATTTTTAGTAGAGATGGGTTTTTGCCATGTTGGCCAGGCTGGTCTCAAACTCCTGAGCTCAAGCAGTCCACCCACCACGGGTTCCCAAAGTGCTGGGATTACAGGTGTGAGCCGCCATGCCCAGCCCTAAATTACTTTCATTTGTGTCACACATCATTCTTTGCAAAGGATATTCATTTACATTCACTTGGTTTGATTCTAAGATTTCAGAAATTAGGTAAGGGTTAACAACATAACATCATGTAGAGAAAAAAAAAACATGTTGATAAACTCTTCAGTTGTGTATGTTGCTTCCGCAGAAAATTCCATGCTTATAATAACAAGGATGCAATTTAGCAAGAAAATATTCTACAATTGTTTCATTTTAAGTCCTCCTCTGGTTTAGGGTATCCAAAGAAGTGAAGGAATAGCTCGAGCTGATTTTTTATCTAGCACAATGAGAGACATAAATAATAAAAATATGTCCGTTCAATTATCAGGTAAATTTAATTTCCCATTCTCTCTTTTAGGATATCTATTTATACTTGTATAAACAGTTCAAGGTCCTCTCTTAGTGGTGCAACTAGAGTTTCCTTCCTAGGGGATTAAAAAAAACCATCAAAGAAGAGTCATAAAAACCTTAGAAAGTTCGAAAAAATATTTAAGCTCATCTCTTCTCACCTGTTAGAAAGGAGCAATGTATAAGATTGTAGGAAAGCAGAGGACATGTGGCTACATATTTTTAGACTATTTGCTATGCAAATACAGGTGTAGGGGTTGCTGTGGGTCTGATTCCCAGAGCCCCTTTCAGCACCAAGGCACTCCTCTCAGTTGCTTGGAGTGCTGGTGGCTGATGTCCCTAGCCCAAGAGCCTCTTTACAAATTGCCCTGGGCCAAAGGGAGCTGCCTCACCTACGGTGACCCTCCTAAGTGGAGGATTTGTTAGCCTCAATCAATCACTGATTCATGCAGGAGTCTACTGGCTTTGCCCACTTGTCTCAAAGCAGGAAAACTCTGAAGCTCTATTTTACCTCCAAAGTTGCTAATGGCATCTAGGGTAGGCTGAGGCCTCTCCTGTGACTACATCACAGTCCAGCTCCTTCCTCTTCCCAATCCTGTATCCCTCACTTCTCACAAATGATGTTTCCATGAGCACTCCCCAGTAAAGTCTCAGAGCTCACTTTAGGAATAACTTGATCTGTGACACCAGGATACAGCAATTCAGGTGTTTAAGTAAAATATAAAATTGCTTTATTCTAAAATAGATGCTTGCCTCCAAACCTATAGCACTGATATTGAGGCACGAAATTGAAGCTACCTCTTCAAAATTATCTGTGACTAACATTTCTGCTTTTGAAATCTGGATTAGTCCTAAAATATTTTACTTGTACCAATCTGTACTTGCTCAGCAACAAGAATACTGTTTGCAAATAGTGCAAAATCAAAACTGGCACATATAATATGTTTCATCTGTAAAGCAAACTAAAATACTCTCTTTGAGAAAATAGCTATTTCATTTCCCCATATTTAAATAGAAATGATTGCATTTAAGATATGAATACACGTTTATTATTTTACTTATCATAAAATTACCTTGATAACTATAAACATGAAAATATATAATAAATTCATAGACATTTCTATAGGTGAGGAAGTTTTGTCATTAATGTTTACCAATAATGTCACTTTATTCATTGGAATGTCACACTTCTGGAAATATTAATATTCTTAATTTGAGGCAGGTCTTTTAAAGCCTCAATGGATTAGGGTCAGAAAAATATACAAACTCTGTCTATATCTAGTACCACATATTTCATAGCCTATGCTATTTTATTACACAGTTTTAACAAATTAGTCTGATTTCAGAGAAGATACTATCTCTCTATACCAAAATTTGTTATATGACATTAAAGTCAACAAATGACAAAAACGTTTATTAGTACAAGAATAGTAATTAGTACTGAATAAGGTATTGAATAATTAAGGTAAATTAAGTGATCATTAATGTTCACAAAATTCTTCTCCCTCCTCTTTTGATGTTTTCGTTAGTATATGTTTAGAATTTAAGTTGCAAATAGTGAACTACAGAATAAACATAATAAATATTGCTTTGATCAATTTATAAGAGCTGCATATTCACAAAAGTACTAACTTGTGAATTTGAAAAAAAAAAAAACAGAGTAACTAATTCCTAAGTATTTGTTAATAGAGACTGAGAAAGTAAGATACATTCATTTCAGAAGTTTGCATTTTTGAAAAGCAAATTAATATGTAAATTTAGACATGTTTGTTTTGGTAACTCATACCGATAAATAGGAACTCTAAACCAGTGGTTGTCAGTTGAAACTTATTGTATTAGATAATATATATAAAGTGCCCTAACACAGTTCCTGACCAATTGGTGCTCACCACATGAGAAATATATTTTTTAATGAACCAAAGAACTTCCAAAGCAGCTACTGAGGCTTTCTAAAAGCAGTCAGTCAAGGTAATTTCAAAGCTACCTTCATTTTTTTCTCTTTGCTTATCTTGACTGCCTCAGAAGAATGATCACAATAAGAGAGTACTTTGTAAATTAATATATGGAAATACTCCATGAGAGTGAGGTGGTGTTCTTTCCATAATACAACTCTTTTAACCTTGAACTTCTGCACTCGATCCATTCAGTGTTCGTCAGTCATAGATATCCTGCCTGACAACTCCATCTTAATCTTAACCTTCA